AGTCAGAGCCTGAGTCCTTGAGTCAGAGCCTGAGTCCTTGAGTCCCCGACTCCTGGTCTGGTACCTTTGCTCGCCAACATCTCTCTCTGTCTTCTTAGTCACAGCACTAGTGGCATCTTGGGCCTCAGACTCCTTTGTTGTGGGGGCTGTTATGCATTGTAGTATGTGTAGCAGCATCTCTGGGGTACACACCCATCGAATTGTGAAAACGAAAAAAAATGTCTCCAGATACTGCTTGATGCTCCCTGGAAATCAAAATCACCCCAGTGGCGAATGACTCTTGTACATCTGTTTTCAGTTTTATAAAGGAATCGTCTTTCTTCACAGTTTACATCTTCCACTGTAACATTTCGCTTGTGCAGCTGTCTAAGAGGAGCACAGAGGGGCACTTCTACCCTGCCCTATAGGGTCACTACGGGTCAGAATCAACCGCAGGGAGTTGGGGGTGGGGGTGGAGGGTTGACGAAGGAACAGGAAAGCTTTGGAAGAAGTTCCCTCTGCTGGTGAGGAAGGGAGGCTGCATCTCCTGGGCCACTCCTCCACCCTGTGGACCTACAAAGACTTCGGGAACGTCTTAGAAGACTCCCACTCTCTCCCTCCCTCCCTCCCTCCCTCACAGCCATAAGACTTCGAAGTCCCTGTGATCACTAATAGGGCCCAGCTTCAGGCTGCATCGTCAAGATCCTGCTCCTCTCTGTCCCCAGAGCTAGAAAGAATCCCTCTCGCAGGGTGCACTTACCATTCACCCACAAATCCCTCTAGAGCCAGCCTGGACTTGCTGCTGGGACTCACCGAAAGGGTGGGCTTGGATTCGTCTTCTTCCTCTGAGCTTCTTGGTACTCAACTCTTTTCTGGTTGAGCCCCCAGCACTTAGGATAAATGGTTTTACCGGAAGCTTACTTGGAGTTTGGCAAAATCCAACAACACTTTGCCAGGCAATATAGTACCCCGTGCAGTAGAGAAGAACTCACACGCTCTCTAGGAGCTTGTGGTGACAGGCACTATGGACGAGGCGTCCTCGTGGTGACGTGGACTACACAGTGGGCTGCTAGCAATAAGTTCGGTGGTTCGAGCTCGCCAGCCTCCCCTCTGGACAAAGATGAGACTTTCTGCTTCCAGCGTTGGACCCTCTCCTGGGTTGTTACCAGCTGCAGTCAACTCAATAGCAGTGAGCGGTGGCAGTTATTGGTAGGCTGTTGGTAGGACACTGACAATCGTTTCTTGCTCTGGGTTAAGACGTCACGGGGCCTGAGCGTTTTCTTGAAGCTCAAACTGTAACTTCCCGCCTATCTTTTTTCACACAAAGAAATGCATCAGGAAAACAATTTGCTAGAAGGATGTGATTGTACAGGTAACTGTGACTTTGCCGTAACACATAAGAAAAATAGATTCTTTCAAATTACAGTTCTTTGTGGTTAATAAAAAGTCCCTTGCAACAGACACATCGTCATGACACCACAACAGGGAGGCTGCTGGCTGGGAGGCATTTAAGATTCCTCCTCGTACCCCTGAGCCCCAAAGCTCTGGAATGCTCTGATTTGCCCAGGGTCTGCATACATTTTTATTTATTTATTTAATGGTGAGCAGTCATTTTCATAAGAGCCCTGGTGAGGTAGTGGGTTAGGCACTGCGCTGCTAACCACAAGTTCAGCGGTTCAAAATGGCCAGCTGTCCCACAGGAGAAAGGTGAGGCTTTACACCCCGGTAAGGGTGATGGTTCTGGAAGCCCACATGGGAGTTCTGCTGTATCCTTTAGGGTCACTATGAATCAGAATCAACTCAACAGTAGTGAGTTTTGGGGTTTGGAGACATTTTCATTGCTCAGCTCCAGAGGTATCACAGGAAATTTTAAATCTCATCAGATTCTAAATGTGTAAACACTTTGTCTAAACAATTTAACTCTGCATCTGATTATCTCTTGGTTTCCAAGTGCCATTCACAAGTGGAGGAACTTTTTCCCGCTGTAAGAACATAAAAGCCCAATGTTCAATCATTTGTACAGTTTGAAATGCATATATTCATAGTAAACAATAAAGTATCTCTCGGCAATTCCAATGGATTATGTGTAAAGCACGAAACAGGGTCCTAAAAGGAGAGCGACCGGCATCCTTGGAGCCACCTTGCAGGTGGGATTGTGAGTTTGCCATTCAGACCTTCGGCTCCAGAGACATCTTTCATACAAATAAATTCAAAATAGGATGCACACATTTCCCCAAACGTAGACTGGTCTTTGCCTAAGAGAGAGCTTCCCAGAGCTGAATGTCCCTTCTCTACCCCGGGCCTGCTTTGTCCACTATCACAGGAACAAGCCAATCTGAAATTTTTTTTTTTAATCCAAAAAACAGCTTCGAATTGCCAAGTTCAAGGGGGGGTTGGGATCAATGCTGAATTCACATTCTTTTCTTATTTTAGCAGCATTCGATTCTTTAAAAATAGGCCTCCAGTCCTTGCTGACAGAGCAACTATATCCCCTTAAGCAATTGTCAGCGACCCCAAATGAGCTTGAGAACCGATTTCATGCCTGTATTCCAACATATTATTCTAAAAAAGTAAATCCAATTAAAAAGTTAACTCTTCAGACGCCAATGAAAGGCCCCTCTCAAAGATTAATTGTGTAAATGCAACCGGATTTCCAAACACAAGATGCAGGCTGCTCAGGCTCATCTTGCAAAATAAATAAGTTCGTTCTTTGCCTGATGGAGACTGTGAGGCCCCACAGGGCAATGCACTGTGTCCAGTTAGTCCGTTTCCCTTACATCCTCTCCCTTGGTGGCTCCGGATCGTTGCAATTGGTGGGTGCTGTAGAGTTGACTTCAGAGCCCTAGTAACTCCACAGGACAGGGTGGAACTGCCCCCCTGGGGTTTCTAGGCTGAGATCTTCACGGGAGCCGACCAGCAGGTCTTCCTCATGAGCAGCCCAACACAGAACCATCGCCTCTGCTGGGATCATTAGTGCCCGCCTCGCAGATGCTCGTTCCTCATGTCTGTTTCTTTCTCTCGGCACGTTGAGAATCCTCCTGAACAAGGAGGCCGGGGCGCTGAGAGGGAGAGTGGAGGCAGTGTGGCTGAGTGGTGCAGCGCTCGGGCTCTGCACTCACAAAGTCCTGGATGCGAATCCTGACACTTCTGCTGACTTCCTGCGTGATCTTGGTCAAGTGACGTACCAGCTCTGTGCTTCGTTTTACTATCTCTGAAGTGGGCATGTACTATATACCTAAGGTGACCAGATTTTAACATTGGTAAAGCGGGACACCATTGATAAAACTTCCTGGCGAAATAGCCACATGGCAGCTGAAAACTGTATACCTTAGCTTGTCGTGCATTCTTTCCAAAAATTGAGATGTTTTAAAAACGCTACAGGATGTGGGAAAACTTGTTAAAAATCAGGACTGTCCCGCCAAAAGCGGGACGTCTGGTCACCTTATACATACCCCACTCCAAATGCATGGCTCAGTAACAGGATGTGTTGGGACACATAGGTGGTAGTCTCAGTCAGTGCCTGGAGTTCAGAAAATGGTAGCGATTGGCTTGATTTGACTTTTTGTCACATCTGTTTTTGTTACGTGTTTTTCATGAAGCTGGTGAGAAATGAGCCGAGATTCAAATCCGGATCTCTGCCTCTGCTGATCTTGTGAATCCATGAAATTGCTGAGTTCTGCCTGCCCCGCCAAATACTTCTCTACGTGGCCCCACAAGGAAAATGCATACTTATGTTTTCTTCTCATTATTATGTGATACAAACTAGCTAATTGCCTTTTGAATTAGTGAGGGAGATAAAGTTTGGAACTTGCAGAACTTGCGGCCTTCAGAACCTTTTTTCTTGCCCTGGAACATAGCGGCTACGTTGTCATATTGATGCCATTCCATTGGCTTTGAGCAATTTATATGCCCTTATGTCTTTTCTATTAAAATAGATCTCTTCTAACAATAACTGTATAGCATCATCATCTTCTTTGGGAGCTATTTACTTTGCTCCTCTTATTTTTTAAGCACCCCGTTAGCACTGGGTAAGCATTGGACTGCTAACCGTAAGGTCAGTAGTTCAAACCCACCAACTGCCCTGCCCCACAGAGTGGCTCTGAATCAGAATTGGCTCAGTGGCAGTGGGTTTATATTAGCCCTGGGACGGCAGTTACCACAGCAGGCATGAGGAAGACATTGTTTTCCTATATGTGGTATGTAAACCACCGAGGATGATTTCAGGCTTGGTGATTAAGTGTATTTTTATTTTAACGATTATGTCATTTTAGTCTTTATACAGTTATTATCCCAAAACCAAACTCATTGCTTCGAGTCGATGCCTACTCATAGGAAACCTCTGGGACAGGGTGGACCTGCCCTCTGGGTTTCCGAGACTGAAACTTTTCCTCCCAAGGAACTGCTGGTGGTTTCAAACTGCTGACCTTGCAGTTAGCAGCCCAATGTGTAACAGCCTTGCCACCAGGGCTCCTTTTAATCATTATAGGAAATATAATAACTATCAAGTTGTTATTCCTTAGTTATGTTATTATCATTACATGGTTAAAACAATAGTGCTGGGGTAATTCATATTAATAAAATCACATGCATGTTAAGTCTTTGTTGAGTTTTAGATATGAGACATGGCAATAATAGCAACAATTGGCACTAAATTATCAACATATGAAATACTCTACCATGAAGCAAAGCCTATATAAATTTCTCACCGTCAGGAAGAACAGTTCTCAGCAAGATCTACAAATGGTAATGAATATTTTCTACTCTTTCCCTTGGCTCAACAAGTCACAGGATTGAATCTGTATAGCCAGACGAGCAGGCAGGACCACAGTGACTCCACGTGCGTGATTGAAAACCAGAGGGCCGTCAGGCCTGGGTTTCCGGAAGCAGACCACCAGGACTTTCTTCCGAGGTGTTTCTTGGTGGACTTTTGGTTAGCAGCCGAGTGTGTATCGGTTTCTCCCACCCAGGGACTCGATAAGGGGTAGCAGGGATGTTGAAAAACAAAACACTGGACTGGTCTAGGAAATGTGAAGCTTGATGAGTCTAGGGTCTGCTACTTACTTAGCTGTGTGGCTCTGGAAAAGCCTTTGATCTCTTTGGATGGGCGCCCTGTCTTGTATAGTACCAGGTTCAATGAAACGTGTCCTTCCTGCTTCTCCGCAGAAGGAGACGAGGTGTCCCTGGAGAAGGTGCTTTTTCAGCTTGTTTTTCACAAGCCATAGAGCACCGGGGCAGACGTAGGAGGAAGAGAGACACGCTGGCGTGTATTGTCAGGTTGAGGTGTGATTTGCAGTCATGATTGTTAGGGGACGTGAGTAGGCATGTCTGTTTATTTGCTTGTTTCCTGTGTTGACAATTTGCTGCCTGCATTTTGGTTTGTCTCAGGCAGAAGAAAAGAAAGTTTCAGAGAAGACTCTGCAGGCGCCTCGTTTGCCTTCCCCGATTGCTGACCACGTCAAGTGCAACATTTTGAAAGCTCAGCTGGAGACCGCGTCCAGAGCGAATGCCCAGGTGTGTGGAGCATGCCCGTCTGTTGGATGTTACTCTGCCAGATGGCCACAGGACAAAGGCCGTTCGGCTGGGATCCTGGGTCAGTAGGTCTACCCGGGAGCCGGGAGCCACACCTGTGGTTGAAACAGAGATTTTGGCAAATAGAATTATTAAAACCCAAACCAGTTGTCACTGAGTCGATTCCAACGCGTAGCTCCCTCCTGTGGTCAAAGTAGACCTGTCCAGCCCGGAGAATTTCTGTGGGTGATCTTTCGGCAGCAGATTGCCAAACTGTTCTTTCAAGGTGCCTGGGGGTGGACCCCAACAGCCCACCTTTTGGTTAGCAGCCAAGCACCTTAGCCTTTCGCGTCACCCAGGGACAAGTAATTATGAACTGAAATGAAATGATTAATGAAGCAAGTGAAAGAGAAAAAGAATTCTATGGCAGAGTTTTCAACCTGGAGTGAGCGAAAGAGTCAGTGAGAGCATGGGCCTCACCCCAGGGATTTGCAAAGTCAAGGTGGGGCCATGAATTTGCATTTCTAACAAGCACACAGCACCACACTTACAGGAACGTGGGGGAATATCAGAGTGCTAAATGAAAGGTTGTTGATTCAAGCCCACTAGCCTATCTTCAGGAGAAAGACGAGGCTGCCTGCTCCCGAAAAGAGGTATGGCGCCTTGGAAATCCGACGTCGGGGCGCTTTGAGTCAGATTTGACTCGACAGTGGTGGGTAGGTTACTACAGGAAGTGACCACAGGAAGCTCTTAGCAACCCACCTGCTAACAGGAGGGCTCAGGGAACTGGAAGCTTTGAGAAGTCGGATGGACAAGCTCAGACTTCTGCTAGGCCAATGCTGGGGTTTCTAAGCTCAGAGGACAAATCTCTCCAGCGCAGGACCAGGACTCAAGAGGAGTGGCTTGCCAGCAGGCTCATGCTGGGTGTCTGAGCTAGACCCCATGAAGCTGAATCAGGGGTGGGTGGTGGTGGTGAGAATACAGCACCCTGGATCCAGCTGCTCCTTCGGGTGGGAAGCTACTGGTGGGGGGAAGAAGGAGATTGGAGCCTCCAGGAGAAGGGAGCCGATGGCAAGGAGCAAGTTCCCCTCTCGCTAGTGCCTTCTAGCGAAAGAACCTGCCTGGGGCTCCTAGCAAAGGGAGAAATGAGATTTGCAGGGTCCCAGGAAGCCCGGTGGATTTCCGAGGCTGATGGCCCTGCGGGCTCAGTGGTTCTGTGCTCAGCTGCTAGCCCTAAGAAGTGTGGTTAGATTAAGCCCCCAGCTGCTGTGTGAGAGAAAGAAGTGGCAGTCTCCTTTCAGCAGCAGCACAGCCTGGGAAACCGTCTGCAGCCCACCTACCCTGCCCTGTAGGGCCCGGGGAGTTGGAATCAACTCAGCAGGAAAGGATTTTTGTTGTTGTTCATCTTTAAGGAAGCAAGCATCTTTCTCCCATCGTGTGGCTGGCTGGTGGGTTTCGTCAGCAGACCAGGGCTCCTTTGACTACCTGACACTGGCTCTCAGAGTGGCTGGATTCATATCTGGATCACAGCGGCTGGCTAATCTTGTGACCTCTTCCAATTCTCTCTTTGCAAAAGTCGCTCAATGTGTGCTTAGAACAGAGACTGAGATCTGTATGTGTGCTGTGCGATGTGTTTGCAGGCCACCGTCTGCTCCACCTCCCATTGACCCCCAGGTGGGTTCCGTTGGCCTGGCTGGCTGAGTAGGTGTCCTTTGCTTGCCCTGATTCTTTGTGGGGCTCCCCCAAAGGAGGAGGCTGGGTCTCTCTCAACATCACATGATGCACTTCCTCCCAGGCTTCTGGAGCTGATGAGAAAGGGCCGATTCTGAGTCTTTATAAATCCCACGTGCTGTGTGAGCCTAGAGCTGATTGTTTTTCCTGATGTAAACTGGGGGCGAGGCATTCACCTGTGGGCTTGTTTTCCCCCCACACAGTCTCTTTCTCATTCACTTACCAGTATGAGCTGGCACAGAGCAGGTTCTTAATAAATGGGAGAAGTGGTTGCATTTAATTATTAGGTCTTCACCCCAGTGGTGGAGGGTGACTCAGGAAAAGATTTGCTTATTAACGTGTGGGAACGCCAACACAGGGGTGGTCACTGACATAGGACTTGCCTTTTGTTCCACCTTCACCTTATAGGTAAGCTTTTGAATGTAGAAGACTTTGAAAGCATTCCCCACCCCCTGCCTCGGTGGTAATTTGCATGGCGAGATGTTCAGGTTTGACCAACTTGTTTTCTTTAACAGGTTGGAAAAGAAGAATCAACGTTTATAAATGTCAATAAGAAATCCAGTCTCCAGGATGCTAATGTAAGGTCCGTTGCTTCTTGTTCGAATGGGGGACGGAGGCTGACTATGTCATCAACATTATCCGCAAAACTCTGGCCGTGAGGATGTTTGCTAATGAATTCAGAGAGGCAAAAAGAAAACTGAATCTGAACCCAAATTGGGGGGGTGGGGGAAGAGTGGCTTAAATATGTTTCGTTAAGGTTCAAGCCTGCTGCCTATTTACCTGTTGATATTTCTCCCTCCCATACTAACAAAGAACTCTTTGGGTTGGTTTGGGGTTGTCTCTCAGGCCTGTGGGTCTGCACTTGTTCCACTTCGTCAGGGTCTTTCAAGGCTACTCTTTGCTCTCGCTGTGCAGTCCAGAGCGCATCTAAACCCATCCTCTGCTCACACTTCAGCTCAGCCTATCACTCTTTCCTCGGCCCACTGACATGACCCCCCACCCACTGAGCTACTTTCCAGTACTGGAAGCACACATGTTCTGTACCGCTTCCAGGCCTCCCCTCCTCCTAACTCGGAGGAAGCCACTGCCCCCTGATCTCACAGAGCAGAAGCACTTCCCTCCCAGCTCTCGTAAGAAACAGCAGTAGACTGTGGAGGCCCACCTACCCAAGCGGTAACCGCTCACTACCGAACAGCAACCTTCTCCTTGGGCTGTTATTTTGAGTAGGGCCAATTGATTATCTGGCATAATTTCTTGAGGAAATGCAGTAAGCGAAACTTCATTTTTAACATTTTCAATGTACACGAGATTAAAATGTGTTGTACAGCAGGTGTGAGCATTCTCCAGATGGTGTCTTTTTCACATTAAATGCCCGTGGTCCTATTTCTTTTCTTTTTAAGTGTATTCTGTGCCTAGTTAAAATACTATGGCTACCAGATGCCTGGGAAGCGAGCATTGATTATACATATCTTCTCTTCACTCTTCTTATTGGCAGAACTTAGTTCGGATCCAGTCCCTGATATTATTGTAGGGGAGGGCGTTTGGGGAAGGGAATCTTTATTCTTACTCTAGTGATGTTCAGTTCCCTACATGCTATATTGTTTTTTATTTACTTTTTTAAATTTATAGTTTTCATTTTACACTCAATAGAGACTAGGGAAATGAATTTTCTATCAACACTCTTAAGGTATACATTAACAGAGAGCAGGTTCCATGACCAAAACAAGACCATAAATCATTTTTGTTGATTTTTTTTATATCTATAGAAGTCCCATTCCTATACGCGTGGACACTACCCAACCAACGGTGGAAAAGCCAGAAATCAAGCCTCCCAGAGTGAGGAAGTTAACAAGACAATACAGTTTGTGAGTTCTGTACTGCAAGTTTTCCAGTTATAAGAACAGTGGCAATGCTAACGTTTGGTTGTAAATGCTTTTTGGCCCTGCAGTGTGCCTAGTGTAAGCTATCTCCCAATTTCAGCTGATTTCCAATTTAGGGCCTTGGGAACTGGATCGTTCTCTCTGAAAACATTGCATGTTGGCAGACGGATTCATTTTCAAAGGCGACCTGGCGGCATAATGGGCTATACATCGAGCTGCTAACCACAAGGTCAGAAGTCTGAACCCGCTCGTCACTCTGCAGGAGAACGCTGAAGCTGTCTGCTCCCGTGAGGATTTAAAAGTCTTGGAAACCCACAGGGCAGTTCTACCTTGTGCTATAGGGCCACTAGGACTTGGGATCGACTCAATGGCAGTGAGGGGTGGGTTTTTTGAGTTAATTAATTATAAATTGCCGCAGAGCAAGTTACTCCAAAATGTAGAGGCTTAAGACAGCACACATCATTGAATACCGCCTAGCTTTGGTGTGTCTATCAGAATTTTATTACCTTTATCGCTGACTACTATCCCACTGGAAGATCATACCACACTTTGTGTCTCCAGTTACTGGTTGACAGACACGTGAGTTGTTTTCTATGGTTTTGGCTATGGTGACTACTGCTGCATTGGACATTGTTTGAGTCCCTTCTTTTAATTATTTTGGGGAAGTCAAAAACTATTGCTAGTGAGGGTTGCAGAATCATTGAAATGCTAACTGCAAGGTCAACAATTCAAATTCACCAGCCCTCCTTGGTGTGAAAGCCACTCCTTGGGAGAAAGATAGAAAAGAGCTATCATCTTAAAAGCTTTCTGTACAGTCACTAAGAGTTGGAACAGACTTGATGGCAGTGGAAATGGTAGCAACCATCAAGTGAGGTGTCAACACAGTCCACACAGAAGAAGTACAGCAGCCTGTGTGATCAAAGGATTATAAATAATAAAATCCAAGACCAGAGGAGGGAATAGTATCAGAACTTAAATTAGGAAAACCCACTTTGCAACAAGCTATGGATGACAGTGGAAGCCCCAAATCCATTTGCAGTGCCCCTATATGGATGAAGCCTTCACGGAATCCCCTCTGACCATAGCCCAAGGATGTGAATAGCCTTGGTATCAGACAGAGAGAACTGTTGAAAAGTTGATTATGACAGATGCAGTTAGGTTAAAATGTAATACCTTATCATTTGATCTTCCTTTTGATCCATTTTAAATTTGGTTTGTAATATTTTCTGCTTTAAAAAAAATCATTTTATTAGGGGCTCATACAACACTTTATCACAATCCATACATACATCCATTGTGTAAAGCACATTTGTACATTCATTGCCCTCATCATTCTCAAAACATTTGCTCTCCACTTAAGCCCCTGGCATCAGCTCCTCATTTTTCCCCTCCCTCCCCGCTCCCCCGTCCTTTCTGCTTTGTTTTTGAATAAAGATTTTTCTCTGTTTTATTTTGTCACTGTTTGGGGGATTGTTTTTTGTTTCTTTCTCTCTTGATTTTTTTTTTATATGAAATCCTGGATAGGAAGCTCTATAGAGTCAGTAACTGAATTGATAATTACCTAGGGACAAAGCAGGGAGGTTGAGGGGAAATGACGAGCTAACAACAATAACTGCAAGAAAAAAGAAAACATTCTAAAATTGATTGTGCTGATGATTACACAACTCACCCTAATGTAATTGAACTATTAAATTATATAATATGTGAATTATATGCCAGTAAGAAAAATAAAAAATAAAAGGCCCTCTTAAAAAATTTCAAGGCAGAGAGGTTTTATGACTGTGCTTTGTGATTCCAAATAGATAATCTTGATAGAGTTTCTTGAAGGACACAAGGTTTATTATGAACAAGTTTTAAGAAAATTGGAAACTGTCGCGGTGAGAAAAAGTCAGGGAATTTGCACCGAGGAATTTCTATTATGGCCGTGCACCTGCTCCCTCTCCCAGGGTAGCATGGGCTAGCCAACAGGCATTCCTCTGGGAAAGTGCATTCCGTTCCATCCGCCCTGCATCCCTGAGCTTGACCCTTCCGACTTCCTTTTGTCTCCAAATTCAACAGCACTTAAACGAAGCACGATTTGGGTCCCTCAAAGATGCCCAAACTGCCATTGTAATGTGGTGTACACCGGAGAGTACAGAATTCTTCAGGGAAGGGTTGAGGGATGGGAGCACCATCTTCAGAAGTGTGTGGACTTAAATGGAGCATCTTTTGAAGAACAGTAGCTTCACACTGTGATAGACGGTTTCATAAAAGTTTCTGCAATGTTGTAGCGATACTTGTTCCTTACCTGCATATACAGTCATGGTTCTCATAATGTCCATCAGGATGTTTTAGCATATCCTTGGTCACATAAGGTTGTAAAAGCATTCAGAAATCCCAATCAGAAAATGGGAGATAGCAAACACAACAGCTTCCCTTATGCTCGTTGTTTCTCGTGTTTCTTGTGTACAAAGCAATTACACTGCCAGGCATATAATGATACTATACATATATTACCAATAACACTTATGTCTTAGTTCTCATCATAAGTACCTATTCCTGGATAGTGTGGGTATTGTACTATGGTTTCTTTTTTTTGTTTGTTTCTATCTTTTTTTATTTTTTTTTGTTTTTTTTCTTTTTCTTTTTTAACATTTTATTAGGGGCTCATACAACTGTTATCCCAATCCATACACACATCAACTGTGTAAAACACATTTGTACATCGTTTCTCAAAACATTTTCTCTCCATTTAAACCCCCGACATTAGGTCCTCATTTTTCCCCTCCCTCCCCGCTCCCCCCTCCCGCATGAGCCCTTGATAGTTTATAAATGGGTATTTTGTCATATCTTGCCCTGTCCGACGTCTCCCTTCATCCACTTTTCGGTTGTCTGTCCCCCAGGGAGGAGGTCACACACAGTTCCATGTAATCGGTTCCCTCTTTCCTACCCATTCTCCCTTTACCCTCCCTGTTTTGCCACTCACACCACTGGTTCCATAGGGCTCATCCGCCCTGGATTCCCTGTATTTCCAGTTCCTATCTGTACCAGTGTAACTATGGTTTCTTTTTTGAGGTTTTTGTCCCATTCTCCTCCCTACACCTGTTCAGCTTGCATGCCTCTCACATGCTGGGTGATTGTTACGGCAGGATTGTGTCTATTACAGCATGCACCTCGGTTTTCTTTACTGGACTTTCTATCTGTACGGCAGTGTATGCTTGGACTCACACACAGGCAGCACCATTCAGGCTCATGGATTGTGGGTCTCCTGTGTGTCGTAGCATTGTAGCTCTGTTTTGTTTTTTTGGAAAATATGACTGCGAATGCATTATGGCTCCCCAAAAACCAGAGCAAGTGAGGCCAACGAGAAGGACTGATTGGGATGTGAAAAAAGGTGGGGGGGGGGCGCTAAACAGCACAAAGGTAGACACCCTGGAGAGGCTATTATTGCTCAGGCTTCCGTCATGTGGCACATGAGAATCATAATGACCCTCAAAAGCAAAGGGAAAATCCTCCCCCAGGTTCAAGGATACGCTGAAATCTGCAAGGCTAGTGACGCCAGAGGGACGTGCGCCAGCTATGGAGACATCAGTAAGGATGGGACTGAGGACCAAACAAAAGCGCAAATCCCTCTCAGCCCTGTGACAGGGGGTGTTGAGGCACGAAGCCTGTGCGTCATGCTTTAGAGAAAGCAGCACCAACCTGTGATACAGTGTTCGCACCAAATCCAAATCACACCGCGTCCCCTACCAAAGAACGCCGGGTACACGTTCATGCCCATGGCTGTTGTCAGGAGTAGAATGGCTGGGTGCTATGGTCATTTGCTTTCTGACTTGTGGAGGGATTCTCTGGCTCTCTTTGTCAGAGAAGACCCACAAGGAGAGCTGGGGGAAGACTAGCAAGACGGAAGCCACCGTCTTCTGTAGCCCAATCGTGGAAGTGGCATCCCTGCACTTGCCATATTGTCTTCCTTGAAAGCAAGTCACCAAGTCCGGCCCACGCTCAAGGGGCGCGGCTGAAACAAAGCTTGAATCCTGGGAGGCAGAGCTCTTTGGGAGCTCTGTCAGGTAGACCCCGCGTGCCACCGAATTTAATGGAGTGGGAGCCTGGGCAGTCACCAGAGCCAAAGCTGGTGACTGCGTGCTAATGAGTGCTGTGGAAGGAGGCATCTCCCCAAGTGTCCCAGAACCGTCAGCCCCTCAAGTTGTATTCATCTTAACAAGGCGTCTTGGCTTCTGTGTGTACCAGGGGAATGGGAGGACGTGGACAATTCCCATTCCAGGGCGCACATGTATTGTATGATCCAGAGGAGATACAGGAGAGGGCTTCAAAAAGTTTGTGGAAATTTTCCATTCTCCTTCTGTTTAATTTTTCCACATCATTTTGGAGGCCCTCATATAATTTCTGAGTTATCTCGGTGGTCGTAGTAGTAATGGAATTAGTGATCATCGTGCTTAGGGTTCCCAGTTTGTGACCTCGGCTGCAGGCCAGGCCCCGGGTCTGTGTGTGCACAAAGGGCTTCCGGAGAGTCTGGAGCCAGAAATGCCTCTGGTTCAGTCTTGGCTAATGTACAGCTGTAAACTCCTGGGGCATTTACTCGGTGAGCCTTGGTTTCTCCATTTGTATCACAGATGAGGGATCACCGACCTCTGAGGCATGAAAGGAGGTTGAACAGGAGATGATGCTCCAAGCCAGAGCCCTGAGCAGAGGATGAACTGATTTTCTTTCCTTTCTTCGCTCGGGTCTCGAGGGTTTTGACAAAAGGTTGAGTTTAGGGGGTACCCAACGTGGACAGCGTAGGACAGGGAGTGAACTGGTAACTCCAGACGTTACTCTCATGCAGTCCTCTCAGACCTGCCCCGTGCCCTTTGTGGAAAGGAGAAGGGGGGCGGGGTGGGTGGGTGTTGGATTTAAGGGCAGACACTCCCCCCCCCTTATGGCCTTAACAGAAACGTCTGAGCAGTACAGCAGCTGTCTTTCCTAGAAAAGCCAAAGCCAGTAAGGTTCAAATAATTAACAATCCTAATGATCTCTGAGTGATAGGTTGAACCAGAGAAAGTCTGTTCCCCTGAGGATAAAGCTGGCAGGACTAGCCTCTGCAGCTGCACGTTGAACCCAAAATGTTATTACCCCCACCCCTAGGTGGGCTGTTAATGGTGCTGGAGACGGTTTATACCTGGCCTGGATGGAAATGAAAATTGAATGAACTCACTTAATAGGCTCTTTCAAGGAACCTCTTTTAAAATGTCTAACTTCATTTGTGTGTTTCTTAAGTGACCCCCAACACGTTCTGCTTCCGCCCCACAAAATCAAAGGCTGGCAGCATTTTCTCCATAGTAGAAAATCGCTCAAGTAATAAGGCAGAGTGGTGCCTGTAAGTGCTGGCTCCTTAAATAGTTGTTGAATCCTTGATACTGGTTACTACAAATTTGTTCATCTCTTATACCCATCAATTTCGATAAAATTAATAAGCACCCGGTTAAGGAATACAGCTGGGGGAAAAACCTCAGGTGTCTGATTTTCTAAAAATATTTTCTGCATTATAATTTTTTAGATGTGTGTGCCTCCTGAGAACTAGGTGGGAATGTAGCAGGCTGTAGGACCTCTAGTTCCGAGGTAGGAATTGGATGGATGTGGGTTTTCAATTGCTCCATAAAAGCATCATGATTTTCACAGTCTCTGAATATGCTTTCAAATGGCTGCTTTTAAGGAGGTAAACCCAAACTTCAGTCATCCCGAGCTTCTGTATAATGGTATTGGAATAATTTGGAAACCAACAAACCAACTCACTGCCATAGGGTGATGCGGACACAAAGCAACCCTTATAAGACAGAGTAGAATTGCCCCTGTGAGTTTCAAAGACTATAACTGTTTACAGGAGTAGAAAGCCCAGTCTTTTCCCCATGGAGCAGCTAGTGGTTTTGAACTGCTGACCTTGTAGATTGCACCCCAGTGTGTAACCACTATGCCACCAGGGCTCCTCATTTGGAAAAGGATGGAGATAAAGGTTGGACAACATGATGAATGTAATCAATACCACTGAATTATATATGTAAAAATTGTTAAATTGGCAAAGTTTTTTATCTATATTTTTTACCACCGCCACCCCAACTCCTCCAAACCCTTAACATGTTCCTTCCTGGAAATATGACAGTGTGTGCACATCATGTGGGGCAGGTCAAAGTGTGATTTTTATATGGATGCAGATAGTATGTCTCCTTGAGAAATGACACCCACTTACTGCCATCCAGTTGGTTCTGATTCATAGCAGCTCCATGTATGGTTTCCGAGGCTGCAATCCTCATGGGAGCTGACAGTCTACTCTTCCTGCGGAGGAGTGCCTGGTAAGTGTGAGCCATCAACTGCGGTTAACAGTACATCCCTGATGGGACAATACCACCGGGACTTGTTAGAAGATAACAAACTTATTATTTCCCAGAAGTCTATATAGGACAGAGTAGAACCGTCCTATAGTATTACTATACCAAAGCCAACTGCCTCCCAGGAAGAAAGATGGGGGGTCCCAACCATGGACCTCTTGATTTGCGGCTGAGGACATCCCCCACTGTACCACCAACACGCCTTTTTGACTACAAGCATCACATAAAAGTCTAAAAGGGATGCAGCAAGCGCGAAAAGCCATGCATCGCACCCCCTGAGTCACAGCGTCAGAAGTCGCCAGTGTTCGCTGATGATGGTGGTGGCTTTGGGCATCTTTCTATGAATATACATTCCTGAAAACAGCAAGTATTTTGAAGAAAGGAGTCATACCATACGTACGATGCTTTCATCATCGAAATATAGCTTCTTCAGTTTAACAGAAGAGGAAGGAACTGGGGGGAAATGGGAAGATGGGTGGAGTTTGGGATAAATGTTTCGTCATCATAAGAGCTACGTTCAGATCCAAGATTATGAAAAGCATTGAGCATTGGAAATCTCTCTCAGTTTTATACAAGACCAGCTGACTGCCTGGTCTGAAAGAGGAGCTGCTCTGTGTTTAAAATGGCCATTTAGTTGAAATGAATAAGAGCTGTGTTTTTAAGCTCCTGGTATTTTTAATAGAGTGGCAATCAACTCTAACCTACTCCCCACTTAAGTAGCCATGAGACCTTGAGTATGTCATTTGACCTGGGGCTGGTCGTTTGACAGTCAGTTGAAGAGTGGGTATCACCAGATTTTCTGAAAAGAACAGAGATCCTAGCACAAGGGTGTTTGTGAAAGTTCACTGAGCTCATGCATGCATAATGATCTGGCTCATGCATGCATAATTATTTGGCTCATGCATGCATAATGATTGGCCCGCTTCCATCTTATATCTCAGTGACCAGTGTCTTACTGCGTTTTTTCACTTACTGGTTCCAACCCTGCTTTTTCCTTTGTGAGCACTAATTCTAATTCTCTGTCTCATGCTTCTGCACATGGTCAAAGATCTAACCCCCCAGGACCCTCCTCAGCCAGTCCTGTTCACGTGGCAGCTGTGTCCCATGGCCACGTGTCCCAGGAGGCTACTGCGGCTAGAATATCCTCACTGAGGAAGCTGTGCAGTCCACGCTGGGACCCACTGACCACCAACCTCTCCCCCACACATTCAAGCTCAGCTGTCATTTCTCAACCACACCACCTGTGCCAGGGCGGCCCCAAAGAATGGGAAACCTTCAAGTGGATGTGTTGGGGGGGTCCTCAAAACAACCTTCATCTTTAGAAGGAGGCACAGAGCTCGAGGAATGCGCATCTTTTCAAGATGTATGGGTTGTGATAGTGGAAGGAGACAGATGAAAATCAGCCAAGGAAGAAGGCCCATGGGGTAGAGTCCCAGAGCCTCCAGTACCCGGTGTGCACTTCCCGGAGTCCTAGCCTGGGGGAGTCATTAGACAGCACTTACTTTGCCCAGATGAACCGTCAGCACCAGGCAGGGAAGCTCACCTCAGCCTGGGTGCTGGGTGCCCAGAGTTTTTATTGGGGGGTCAGGCACAGAGCACCCATGTGACTGGTCTTATTGGTTACTCAATCTTCCGCCCTTTCCAGTTCAACCTGATACGGCAGGACCTGAAGGCCAGCCCTACAACAGCAGGCTCCACCATCAATCGCCTGGTTACCATGGGCCCAGGTCTCATCAAGAAAGACACTCTTACAAAGCAGGGTGGTCCAAGGACTCAGAGACGATCTAAGCGGACTTGTCTCCCCAGACCAGTCTGTCTTTGGAGTATGTAATTTTGAGAACCTCAGGCAGCTATCTGGTTGGCATTAGGGAACAGGGAGTTGGCATCATTTCTATGAGTTTGAAAAAATGCTGTTGATGTTAAGAATTGAGGGTTGGCCCCAAATCGGTTGCTTGGGAACAATGTTTAAACCTTACGCCCCGCCCAAACTCTCCCATTTCAACAGTTCAAACTAAGTAGCAGTTTAGCGCCGGGAATAAAAAATGTCCACCTTGTGCGCTGCACATCTGAACGCATGACCTCGGTGGGGTTGGTGGGCGACCAGAACCCTCCAGGACAACCGGGAACTCCAGGGCAGAGTCGAAGTCAGCAGTGGGTAAGGAGCTCGAGATGGCGACGTGGTGCCCAGTGTGGAACTGTCGCCCGCTGTTCAAGTGGACACCGCTGAATGGTCGTGTGCTTTGAAGTTTCTTTTACCAACCATCTTACACAAAATGAGTGAGATAAAGAATGGGGTGTGATGGCACCTTATACAAAATGAGTGAGATAAAGAATGGGGTGTGATGGCACAGTCCGGTGGTGTGCCAGCATGAATTTGGACCTAGGGATGAGCCCAGGGCTCCAGCCAGGCCTGCTCACGGTGACTTGCCGTCTGGGATCTTTGTTCTCCCCAGCTCAGCCCAGCCCTGAGACAGGTGCCTCCCCAGGCCCTGGAGCCATGTGTCAAACTCAGCCATCAAAGGACACCCTTCGCCCCAAGCAGTGGGCACCTGTGAGCCTTGTAGCTCCCCTCCTAAGAGACACCACTCAAAAGAATATCCCCAGGCAAGGGACTGGAAAACCAGCTTGAATTTGCTTTGGCAAAATAAAAAAAAGAAGCAAGCGTCAGCTCCTCTAGGCAGGACCTCTGGTGCACATCCGTTTGGGAGGCTTTCCCCTCCCCCCTGGCCAGGCCCCACCCCTCCCCTCCCCCCCACAGTGCGTTTGCTATTGTAATGAGCAGAGCTTCATGTGCTTTTAGTAACCGCAGTGATGAAGAAGACCTGCCCCCGGACTTGGCTGAGGCTGTGGGAGTGACGACCGCATCCACGCCCACCACGCCCACCATCACCCCCACCCAGATCTCCGCGCCGCTGCCGTCTCCCAAGGTCCAGAAAGTCAGCTCACCGCAGAAGCCCGAAGGCAAGGGCCAGCCATCCCCAGGGGCCAAGGTATGGGCAGAAGGCCAGAGAGATCTTGGGCCTGGCTGCAAATCCAGGCGACCCTTTGGGGAGTGTGCCACCCTGGGTGCACCATCGAGGGTGTACATGCTGAACACACAGCAACAAGCTCTTGATCAAAGAGTTCTCAGCACACGCTGGGCCAAAGCATGAGCCAGCCGTTAGCAAGAGACAAATAGTAAAGGGTAGAGCCATGGACCCCAAATGTCAAGAGCAAGTGAAGGACAGATTTTTGAGGGCAGTTTGATTTTAGAATAGCATCCTTGCATAAGGTAATACCTTGCATAAGGTAAAAATAACTGTAAAACATGTAAATAAAAAAAAAACCTGGGGAAAATGTGAAAACGTTTCCACCCCCCTACCCCACCCCCAATATGAGAGAGTTTCGTTTGGAAGAGCGAAAGCATCCCAGGGTCCCCACCCCATTCGCTCCTGACACTGGGTGCAACCAACCAAGCCAGTTGTAGCAAGTGGCTCCCAGCTCCTGGCCATCCCAGGTGCGCCAGACTAGACGTGGGCTCCGCCGGGCTGTCCAGGCTGCGACCTGTCCGGAAGCAGACCGCCAGACTCTTCTTCCTAGAAGCCCCAGGATCGGTCCGTAGTCTGACGCTTAGCCCTTGGGACACTCGGGAGTGAATAAAGCACTAGGTATGCGTACAGAGCGTTCTGACTCCCGTTAGAGGACACAGGCAAACTCAGATGGCCCCTGGAGCCTTCGGCTGTGTTTCTCTCCATGGTGGGGAGCCCCTGTCTCCAGTGTGGACATGGGCTCTTGTCACATGTCGCACACCACGGTTAAAACCAGCTTTGAGAACAGAAGGAAGTCCCAGGAGCCCACAGGCCCATCCTGCCGGAGGCTACAGGGCTCCCTCTCCTGGCCAACTGCTGCAAATCACAAGACCAAGCTCAACTGCCGTTAGTTGATTCCAACTCATATAGCGAGCCTACAGGACAGGGTAAAACTGCCCCTCTGGGTTTCCAAGACTGTAACTCTTTACAGGAATAGACAGCCTCGACTTTCTCCTGGTCTCTCTGCTTAGGATCTGCTAGGTCCTTAGACTCATTTTTCTCCTCACAAAGGCCCCTGTGCTACTGAGCCCCCTGAGCCCCCAGGGCAGGAGTAAAACAAAACAAAACATTTCTCCAAAACTAAATATAATTTTCAGAGATGCCGACCTACCCCCGTGATCATCTTCATTGTTATGCACGGTCAGTTTCCATTCCATGAGACCTTGACCCTCCTGATTCAGGATAAGGTCTTGACTCTCGTGACCAATCAGAGAGCCCCCAAAGCAAAGTCCAGCCTCCCTCAAGAAACATTGTCCCTCTTCCCACCCCACCCCTGACTTCTAACTGCAAAGGGTCCAGAAAAATCATAGCGTTCCATCACCACACGGTATACTGCGGAGCAAGGGCAGTGGAGGATTGTCACGATGATGCCAGGGCCCTTGAGTGGTACCAATGATTGGTTGGCAGTTCAAATCCCCTTGGAGACACGGGCAGTCTGCTTCCCCAAAGTCATAGGCTAGACAATCCCATGGGCCACAGGTCTACTCCGCCCGCATGGGCCGAGCGTGAGCCTGGACGGACTCCTGGAAACTAGCTCAGGTCTCTTTCGGGTCCCAGTCGTGAAGTGTGGGTTGGAAAGGGGATGGAGGAAGGATTGTGTGGCTCTGTCTTCCAGCTACATGCAGGAAAGCCTAGGATTCCAGCGCTGGGATCACTGTCTCTAACCAGGACTACTCTTGTCTACCTTCTTAGAGCCCGTCTGACCGAGGAGGCGCCTTTACCTTGGAGCCAGGTGATCTGTTGATGGATTTCACTGAAGCCACTCCTCTGGTAAACTTCCCTTTTTGCTAAATCCAGAAGAGTCACGGGTCATGGAAACATCGTGTCGGTGACATAGATGGACAGAGGGGGGCCCTGCTGTTGGAAGGGGTCTTCCTCTTGTCCTGCTCACAGACTTGAGGGCCAGGGAGCTTGTGCTTTGAGTTCAGGCCCCATGGGGCCCTGCACCTCCAGTTACCTTTCCTCTGAGGCTGTTGCGGGGCCCTCCCCGCTCCTGTCTGCTACTCCTCAAGTGTCACCGAGCTCCTAGGTGCTTGGGCCTCGGCTTTGTGGCTTCCTGGCCTGAGCCTCGCATGTCCCCCCATGGGGTGTCTCTTGCTGTCGCTTCCCAACACCCCGCTCTGGTCTGAAGCATTGGCTGAAGACTCATTTCGGCTTTGTAGGCCCTGCAGTGTCTTCCCATCATCCTCCATCCTCTGCATACACGTATCTCCTTAGGGAGGGTGCCTTTCCCAGGACTCCTCCTGCAGGTGAGGAATCTTTTCAAGCAGCACCCATTGGACCAGGAATCACGCCAACTGGACCCTCCTCCAATCTCTGCTCCCCTTCTTTTGAGCCTTGTCATTGAAGAGTCACCACTCTGCCTTCTATAAAATAAGAATTGCCCTAAGGGTTACCTGAGAGAGACCCCTTGCAGAACAAAGGACCACAATTATGGGCAAGGTATTTCTGTTATCGCTCAATGACACAGGCAAAGTGGACTCTGCTTAGTACCCAAGTGAACTTGAGCAGCAAGCAGAGTCTGCACATTTGGAATGGGAGTCAAAAGGTGAGCCCAATTGATGACACCCGCTGAATGCTAACGGTGTGGCCAAGCATGTGCTGTGTCTGAGGGCCCACAGGCAGCTGGAGCCGGAGGGGAAGGCAGTAGGGACAGCAGTCAGGGACAGAGAGCTCTAGGAGAGCTCATGGGTCTTCAGGGTCAGAGTCATGCAGAGTGGACTGGCTGGACCCGTGTAGTGGATGGGAGGGATTTCCGTAAAATGGCAAGATGGGGACCATGATGCCCATGTTTTAGGAATGATCACCATGCAAGGTCTTGGCTGGCACAGGAAATCCCTTATGCAGTTGTACTTCCAACCTGGAATGTTGGTAAGGTCTGAGCTTTGCCAGTTAGTGCCTTTGGATAAGCAACTGAGAAGCAAGGGTGGGTGGTGCCCTGACTGGGGAGTCCCAAGGGACCCCTTCTTTCGTGTTCAGGTAGACAGGGTGAGGTGATTCATGCCCACGACTGTTCTCAGATGGAAGGGCTCTCTTGCCCTTCAGATAGGGGAACCCAGAGGCAGGGGGCCACCCATTGCCACCCTTAGAGGGCCTCTCAGCATCACCCCTTTGCACAGATGGGGGAAACTGAGTCCCAGAGTGTGGTCAACCCATGGAGCTGGAACCCAGGTTCCTGGCATCTCTTCCAGTGCCTCCTGCATCCCTGAGAGAACCACCCAGCCTCCTCCTCCTGGGGACAGGCCACTTGGAAGCAGAGCAGTCTCCGAAATAAGGCTGCGATGAAAGCGGTCTTCCCATGGGGAAGGAGAGAAGGGCGGAGTGAGTGAGGCCGAAAAGAGGCAGCCCAGGCCGGTTCTACTTCATTGAAGGGCAAGGCCTCATTGGTGGGAGCTAATAGGGATCGCGGACATTCAGTCTAGCTGGAGGGAAGAACCACTAGAGGGACCCATGAACCCACCAGGGACAACCTGGGGGCTTCTGAAGGCCAAGAAAATAGGGGAAGACTAAGGTTCGGGGCCACCTAACAGAAAACACCTCTGGTGGGGATGAAAGCTGCTGGGGTCAAGAGGCAGGGAAACTCTCTGGAGCAGCCCCTGGGCCACCAAGCGATGCTGCAGTCCATGCAGCCACCCCGCCCACGGTCACCCAGGTGATTTCCATTCCCCGGGACCCTGTCGGGCAGCGTTGAAATGAGATTTCTGAGACTGCAAGTCTTTGAAGAGCAGACAGCTCTGTCATTCTCCCAGGACGTGGCCGGTGTCCTGCTGCTGCTGACCGTGCCGTTAGCAGTCCAGCGCTGAGCCCCCTTCACCCCCACACATCCTTCGATGCCACCATGCCTAGCCCCATCTGAAGGCCAGGGGTGGTGGGGGGTGGGGTGCAGATGTCTTTGTGCCTGGCTTTTGAAGGGTGAACATCAGTTTAACCAGCGCCAGGCATTCTAGGCAAAAAGCACAACAGGAGCAAGAGACTGGGTTTTTCTCCCTGGGCCTAGCAGATCTGAGAACTGGGGTCAGTTACAATTTTTTTAAAATGCATCACTGCGTTGCTGGGAGTGACGGGATTCCCTGAGAGGCTCGTGTTCTGTGGGTCCAGCTTGTCGATGGAATGACCCCATCTTTTCGTTGACGGAGCATGACCGACCAAGATGAGAAAGGAAGCTATGATTCCGGCAGGGCTGTGCCCCCCCTTCAGAACCAGCTCATCCCCTCTCCCCAGAGCACCCTGTTCGCATCTCTGACTCAGCTCTGAAACCGTCCAGGGACTGCCTGTCTTTCGGCTGTGCCGAGCTGCTGCTGCTGCCCAGCTCAGGGGCCAAGTTTGCAATGATGAAGCATCCCGGGTCCTGCTTGTGTGCACGGGAGCCACATGGGCTTGTGTACAGGACTCAAGGAGAAGGTGTGGCCAGAGGCCTCCCTTGCAGACTTCCCTTGACACTTGCAGTGGTGACCTTCCTAGGTATGCCCTGACTCCCCGAGTGTCTAATGGGCCTTGCAAAGGAGAGGCCGTTCGGCAGTGGAGATCTCTTGTCACCTGGTCCTCTTCCTACCTGCCTCTCTCTAATCTTGCTGTTGGGGTACTCTGGGGTGACCAACCGGGTCTTGGAAAGTAACCCAGCAAAGAATGGGCTCAGCTTCTGGAACTGGGAAACTCCTTCTCAGTCTGGGCTTCCTGGCACCGCTGTGTCAGTAACCGCCCCCCCAGGGGGCAGTGGGTCAAGGGCTAGTGAATGAGGGTGGTGAGGTAGGGGAAGGAGCTGGCAGGAGAGGGAGGTCCAGCACCCAGCTCAGGTTGGACTATGACCAGGACTTCCCTTACTCCTCGGCCTTAGACAATCAGCCAGAACAATTTCCTGGACCATCTCATCACTTACGGATGGAAAAACTAAGGCCCACAGATGAACAGGGACCTGCAGCAGCCCACGGTCAGAGCCAAAACGAGAAACTGACCCGGCACTTTTCACAGTGGCCATGGCTCCAGCCAGGATATGCCTCTCTCCTTCCCCAGTAATCAGAGACAGAGAATACAGCGACACATGAATAACACTGGGGTGTGCAGAGGCCTCCCTCCCTCCCCCAAAGCTGATTTGCTAAGTTCCCTCCCAGCTAGCACACAATACAAATATCGCTGCCTTCTGAATGTTGGCTTTCTCTTTGCTCCCTTGTCTGACTCCCATACTTCACATGCCACTCACCCGGCTGCAACACAGAGCCTATCAGAGCCCATCAGAGCGCATGTCTGTCCCGGGCCTTGGCTTGTTATTCACGAGTCCTGTGTCAGGGAATGGATAGGTCTGGCCAAACGAAGGCTGTTCAGGAACAAGGACAGGCATTGGGTTGGCTATCTGAACAGGGTTCCACCGGGGACAATAACATGGTTTTAATTGTGAAGTTCATTCTTCCAGGAAGGTTAAAGCTTACTGGCAAGTCAAATCAGAGTGCCTCTTCCTTGTTCCTGCAGCTTTATCTACTATGTCCTCCATTGCACAGGAAGGTGGAGGGAGGTCTGCTTTGTCCAGCATGTCTCCTGTTCACAGGTACATCCGGGCACATACTCTTCTACCGTTAGGCCCCTTTGGGTGGCTGGAGATTAATCTCCAGCTGGATACAACACCTTCTGGGGTCTCCCTCAGAGATGGAATATAGAGCCTCTCAACCCTCCAGCCTCCATGTCTCTGGCCGGACCATTCCTGGTGTCTACCTTCCTGATGTTTCTCATTTCAAAGTGGCCATCTCTTTTCGTATCTGGCTCATGAAGGAGTCTAACAAGGTTTCAAAATCCCTCACCTATCCCAAGAATCTCTTCTGCTCCACCAAGAGTTGGGTTTTGTATTCAAAAGCCAAGGATCTATAGATGAACCTAGTTGCCTCACCATGGAAAAGACTCCAGGAGGAAAGGAAAGATGGGAGACAAACAGAAATGGTGTCTCAGAGCAGTCTCCTAGCACACGTACTATCTCATGTCACCAGTTCTTATTTAACCTTAAACGGGAGGCACGAGCAGAGAAGCCCAAGGATGATCTTGCGTTTGAAGTTACTCAGGCGCAGACATGGCTTTCAGGAATGGATCAACTCTGGATAAAAGTCCAACTCTGGGCAAAGCTTTAAGTCATTCAGTGTAATCTTTAGTTGAGACATATTTCCACCTTTGTGCAATTCATGTCCGTGTTTCCTGATCATCTATGACGGTGTTTCTTTTCTTTTCACTGAAAACACACATGGCGTTCCTACTGTTACACAGAGGAACACAGGCCCAGTGGCCTGAGCCTGCCAGTGTCACTGGTTCTGGCTAGACCCTTCATTTCCCTGGGGCAGGGGAGATTGCCGAGCCGGACATCAGCTCCGTGCAGGCCTTCTCCATCGGAGGCAGCCTAGGGCTTACTCTGAAGGCCACAGCAAGAAGTGGCAGGGCTTTAAATAGGCCGGCGAAACAGGAATGGCAGGCGACTCGTGTGGGCACAGATTAAGGATGCGTGAGTTTGTGGGAAGTGGATTTAGAAATGTTCAACATGAGGCTCTAGAAACTGTGTACTGAGACTTGGTAACTGCAGTGTCTGTAACCCTCAGATTTGAATAGTAACATACGGCCATTGTGAAGATCGTTGGGGGGTGGGGGGTTGTCCAAGTTCCTTTGGGAGTTCCTTACAGCGTTGCACCCTTGTAAGAAGAACAGACTTAAATCAATTTGAAGAAGGCAAAAGGTCTGTCGTGTTTTTGGTAGTTTTCCCGATGATACTTGCCTGGGGCTATAGATAGTATTCTCTATGGCAGGGGGATGCCTCGATTGAAGGACACTCTCTTAAATTAAACTATGTGTGGATTAGTTTTCTGGGGTAAACAGCCTCTCCTGGGAATTCAAACTAGCCCCGTTAGCTGTTCCCGCTCCCACATCAGAGCATCCCTGTTGACCATTGCATCCGCACCAGTGCAAGCTGTTGGGCCTCTGCTGTCTGCATGGCACGAATCTGGGGCTGGGTGGGAAACTCAAACCCCACGTGGCAGGACACGTTTCTCTCAAGGATTAGCATCTTTTACTGAAGCAGCCAAGTGCCCCAGGTATCCCAGTGTAAAGGTCAATACAAGATTCCCACAGCCTGGGTCCAGGAACATGCAGGGGGAAGAGCAGGGTCAAGTGTTAATTTTCTGAACACAGATTGCGAAGAGCCCTGACAAATCATATTCGAAACCATGTGTTCCTCCTCCTTTATGTATCTCTCCATTAATACTTTCTCGGACATGCGCTCACATGCACACCAAAGAGACACGGAATGTGTTCCCTTCTTGTGCAGACTGCGGGAGGGCCCTGGACATGGAAGTAAAGACTGTCAAGTGTGCAGCTGCTCCTCCTATTGCTCCCATGGCAGACATCATTGATCACGGCTCTCTTTCTGGCTGGCTTGGGCAGAATGCTTAACAGCATGCCAAGAAGCCACCACCAATCCTGGGGAGCTGGCTTCTACCAGCCAGTCCTGGGAATGGATGGGTTTGTTTATTGTGGTAAACACATATGCCACAGAATATTTGACAGTCTTTCACATGAACCTGGGAATGGATTTTTGACATGTCAGTCTGCTGGAGAAGACCGAGGAGGACCAGGGAGGAGAGGAGAAGGCTGCGGGAGGGGGGAGGGCTAGAAGCCAGTTGGTCAGAGGCTGGAAGTCGGCCAGGGGCCAGACTGGCTTGAGAGCAATCTGGAGTTGACAGATCTGTCTTGCACTGTGCTATCTTTCTCTCCTCCCCACTCCCTTATCTCCTCTTCCCCTTCCCCATCTCTCACCACCTCCTCCTCCTCCCCTTCTCTCCTCTCCTCTCCTCGTGAGCAGGCAGAGCCCACCAGCGCCCCACACTGTGCCCACTCTTGCTGTTCTCCTCCTCTCGCTCTCCCCATGAAGGAAGAGCCCACTGGAGTTTGCATGCACCCTCCAATCAAAACAAGGCTGGTAGGTACCTGGCAGGGTGAGGGGCCTGCTGTGAAGAGAGGCAAGGCGGGCAGGAGCTCTCCACCAGAGGCCAGTGGACATGCATGGGTACCAGACCCCCAAAAGGTGGGCTCACGGGTGCTCTCCCTTCAGGATGGATCAAGAGTTTGGAGCCTGGCCAGGCCTGGTCAATCTAGGACCCATGGCTTTGGTCCCACCTCTTTGCTTCTAGGTTTCAACCACCATGGAATACTTGTTTGTTTGTTTTACCATTTTTAATGAGCAAAGATGTTTTTCCCCAGAGAGGAAAAAATATGTTCTAGTAGTCACCAGACAGACTCTTTAGTTGTATTTCGATGGAAAATAAAGCCTATTCTTAATTTTCTTCTGTTGTTTATTAAAATACCAATATACTAGGAGAATTATATAATAATGGCAAAGGATCACCCATAATCTCAACCTCCCATGATTTAAAACTTTTTTACATGTTTCCTTACAATAATTATTCATATTCATTCCTAATTTCATATAGCTGTAATCTCAGGCTCTGTATTACCTTCTGTTTTCCCTCTTTCCCCTCGCATTATGTTGTTGAGTTTCTCTCTTATCCTTGTTACTGCATTCTCTGGGACAGCTACTGTTCTATGCAGCAGGTAGCCCATGAGCTACCTAACCAATCCTTTACTGCAGGGTGAGTTATTTTTTCTTGTGCTTTTTCATTATTCAAGGGAGCATAGCTTTTACACAAGGTGTTGTATTTTCTCAGGTTAGACCCTGCTGAGTTAACTATTGCAACTTCGACTTTTGCACTGTCTCGAAAGTGGTTGTACCAATTGGCAGTGCGATCGGGAAAGAATGAATGTACTTTGCAGAACCTGAACAACACAATGTGTCTATTGGAATATATATTTTTTTCTTATTTAGAGCAGGTCTAAAAGAATTTCAAGGTTGCTGTAACATTTCTTTGCTTAATAAACTCAAAACACTCACTGACATCAAATTAATTCTGACTCATAGCGACCCTATAGGATAGAGTAGAGCTGCTCTTGTGGGTTCCCGAGGCTTTAAATCTTTATGGGAGCGGAAAGCCTCATCCTTCTCCTGGGGAGCAGCTGGTGGGTTCAGACTGATGACCTTGAAGTTAGCAACCCAACTCGTAATCCACTACGCCACCAGAGCTGCTTCTTCATGTAACAACAGCAATCATTAAAAACTCTGTTTCCCCTCTACTTCAGAACACCCAAGTTGGACCATTTGGCCACGCAAAGATAATATGTGTTGGCAGCACTGGTTTCAGGATGCCCACCCCCTAGAATGAGCATGAGAGGCCTTTTTACACTAAGCTGCAGGCAATGACTACCAGCAATCAGAGTTGGCACCTGAGTCAAAAAGCAGTGTGGGGGTCTACTTAGGGAGGTCTGGGATGTTTAAAAAGTCTTAAGAGAGATTGGAGAAGGGTAGCAGGCTTGTGCTGGGTAGGTCAGCTCAGTGCACAATGCAAGGACATTGTCACCGGCAGACAAGAAGGGCTGCTCCCTTCACCCATTCAGAAGGTTTTGGCACATCAGGGTCTGGTGTGATGCATTGTTGCTCAGCCCTGCCTTAGGCTTCCCCTTAGAATGGGCTCAGAGCATCTAGGAACTATCTCAGGGCCCAAAGGCAAGCCCCCAAGAGACACAAAGACTGCTACATTGGACAGTGGTGGCCTTGGTGTCCTGCACACAGGCTTTCTGGCAGCTGAGTGGCAAAATGGCCATTCAACCAATAGTTGTACTGGGAGCTGCAGCCCCCAAAGTGATGCCAGTGGACCTATGCCCTCTCAGGACCCTTGGGCCTGCTTAGAGAAGGCATCCCCGGCATCCCCCTATGTCTCCAGAGGACCAACAAGCGAAATGGCGGCAAAGACTCTTTTGGCACAACTAGTTGGTACATCCAAACTTTATTAGACCAGCCCTGTGCTGCAGCTGAAGGAGTCCTGGTGGCATAGTGCTTATGCATGGGGCTGCTAACCACAAGGTCAGCTGTTTGAAACTGCCACGCTCTGAGGGAGAAAGGCAAGGCTTCCCACTCCTAGAAAGAGTTCCAGTCTCAGAAACCCACAAGGGCGGTTCTATTCCGTCCTACAGGGTCGCTGTGAGTTGGAATCCACTCAGTGGCAGTGAGTCCAGTTTGGGCTTGGTGCTACAGCTGCCATTTCTGGACACCATGCTGACTTCCCCAAAGGCCAGGCTTCTCCCTGGCTTCTCTGGGTTCCCCTGAGATTTCCTTCTATTGCCCAAAGTTCACAGGCCGTCCAGCCAATAAAACAATTGGGCAGAGAATATTTCCTGGCTTAATGAACCAGGCATGCTGGTACCCAGCCTGCTGTGAAAGACTGTCTCTAGATGTGATGTCCCCCCAAGAGGAATTACTGAAAGCTGAATGAAGGTCGAACATGATAGTGGGACAAGAGGAAAGGAAAAGGAAAAAGAAGAAAGAACTAGGAGGCAAAGGACATTTATAGAGGTCTAGATACAGGCATGTACATGTGTAAATATATTAATGTATAATGATAGGGAAATAGATCTACATACACATATTTATATGTTAAGTATTAAGGTAGCAGACAGACATGGGGCCTCTACTCAAGTACTCCCTCAATGCAAGAACACTTTGTTCTAATAACCCGGCATGTGATGCTTACCTTCCCAACATGATCACTGAAGGTAAAGTAGGTACATAAGCAAAGGTGGTGAAGAAGGCTGATGGTGCCCACCTATCAAAAGATATAGTGTCTGGGGTCTTAAAGGCTTGAAGATAAACAAGCGGCCATCTAGCCGAGAAGCAACAAAGTCCACATGGAAGAAGCACACCAACCTGTGTGACCATGAGATGTCCGTGGGATCAGGTATCAGGCATCAAAGACCTAGAACAAAAAATTATATTGATGTGAATTGGGAAGGGCGGAGTGGAGACCCAATAGCCATCTGTAGATAATTGGACATCCCTTCACAGAAGGGTCACAAGGACGAGAAGAGCCAATCAGGGTATAGTATAGCACTGACGAAACACACAACTTTCCTCTAGTTCTTTAATGCTTCCTCTCCTCCACTATCATAACCCCAATTCTACCTTACAAATCTTGCTAGACCAGAGCTGTACAGGGGTACAGATAAGAGCTGGAAACACAGGGAATCCAGGACAGATAAACCCCTCAGGACCAATAATGAGAGTAGTGATACCAGGAGAGGAAGAGGAAGGTGGGGGAAAATAGAGGGAACCGATCACAATGATCTACCTATAACCCCCTCCCAGGGAGAGGGGCAACAGAAAAGTAGGTGAAGGAAGAGAACGGTCTGTATAAGACATGAAAGAAATAATGATTATAAATTATCAAGGGTTCATGGGGGAGAGGGAAATGAGCTCATACCAAGGGCTCAAGTAAAAAGAAAATGTTTTGAAAATGGTGATGGCAACATATGTACAAGTGTGCTTGACACAATGGATGGATGGACTGTGATAGGAGCTGTACAAACCCCCAATAAAATGATCTTAAAAAAAAAATAAATGTGACTTCCCAGCAGCCTCTAAGCCAGTCCCCACAGCCACCGGGAAGTTGTCAGAAGCCACCTGGATGCCCTAGCTGTCTCAGTATCCACTCTAATGATGGTCTTTGTGGACGGGGCCACCCGTAGGAGTCAGCGTGCCCAGGACCTCCAGGGCAAGGGCAGCAGACTCCTCCAGGCCAGCCCACTGGCTCTCCATCACCTGTGCATATTCCCTGACACAAGCTAGGGAGTCTCCACCTGTGTGTTTCCCCAAATCCCTCAGGAGGCTTCCAGGTGCGCTGCCAATCATTTCAAAGCTTTGTTTCCTAATCTGAAAGTAATGCTCTTATCTTTCTTTCCTTTTCCTTTTCTGAAGATAAAAACATTCCCGGCTGATACAGTGAGCCCGTTTCCTGAGCCTTTCACCACAGGGGCACCGTTTACCGTAAGTGTATCCAGGAAACAGGTCTGGGTATTAAGCCACGCGTGGTTCCCAAGTGGCATGCTCTTGTGGAATGCCAGGCCACCAGGCCAGCGGCTTCCGTTGTTCCCTGTGAACTGGGTGTAGTTGGGAAGGTGCTGGGATTCTCAGCCTGGAGACAGAAGTCCATGTCCTGTCACTACCTCTTGATAGTTGTGAGATCGCAGTTAAGTCCCTGGACCGTTCTGCACACCCTCTGGGGATTGTAATACGACTATCTCCCATCTGTCTGGTTGAGGCAAGAATCAGTTGGGATCAAGGAGTTGGAAGTGATGTCCCAGCTGGGGGTCCGTGGGTGCTGCAAGGGTTGCCAGCTCATGTCCTCCCAGAAGTGCTTGGGGAGAAAAGCTGGAGTTCTACTTCTGAAAGATCATGGCCATCGAAGATGCGACTGAGGGCTTAGGGAGTTGGCACCACCCCACAGCAGCTGGCTTGGTTTTACCAATCACAGAGCAGCCCACAAAGGCCAGTCACCATCGATGCTTCCCAGGTTGGCGCTGCAGGGCGAGGCGCTGGTGGAGACTAGGTTGTCATGACAACCAGCACCTCACCTCAGCAGCTTCGGCTCACCGCCAAATGTTGAAACGTGTTTGAATATTTCAATGTCATGGTTTCCTCATCTGCAAGATCTGGGACTTGGATGTTTCTCTAGCTGCTTTTCTGCTGTTTAACTTTCCTACGGGTGCCGCTCACTATGAGCCGCCGTGGGGAGCACACGAGGGGAACCAGGGTCCCCTCCTCCTTCCTCTCACCATCTCAGGGACCATAGTTTGCAATCCTTACATCTCTGTGATCCCAGAGGCTCTCCTCTTAGAGGGTTCCAGCCTGTCGGGAAGATCTGGAAGTGAACTGAGAGGTAGCATAGACATACTCAAGTGCAGTCTCCCGCGCTGGGAGAGAGCCCGTCCCTGAAGCCACACAGAGCGGCGGTAGGGGAGGGGCTGTGGCTGAGTTCCACTTCAGAGGATACAGAGAGGTGAAGAGGTGTCCAGTTATTCAGGCAGAGGGGAAACCAGGTTCTCAGATCAATCGAATCCCAGGGTCCTGAGCTGCTTCCAGCCTATTCAGATGCACAGGGTAGAGTTGACGGGGGCCGAGCCAGGATGCTAAATGCGACTGCCCAGCGGTCCATCCTGGCCCCTGCAGTTTTGCCGGACATAGCTTCCCCAGCTGGAAGCTCCGGCCTCATTTCCCTCAGTTGGCCATGGTGGACCACACTGGCCTCCTGCCCAGCCCTGGCATTGCTGTGAAGCCACGGGGAGCCCTTCCTGAAAGCTGGGGGCCATGATGGAGCCGGAAGCCAATGCCAGAAACCACACTGAGACTCTTCAGACATGGGCAGGAGTGGCTGCAGGGCAGTGAAGCAGGCAGAGGGCTCAGCATGAACCAGAGTCCAGCAGCGGCAGCAGGGGCCATCACACATTCAAGAGCCGCAAAAGAAGGCCACTGACCGGCTGCTGAGAGAGCACCAGGAGCTGGGGATGAGACCAGGGAGGAGAGGCAGGCAGGAGATAGTCACTGCAGGGACAGAACCGGACTAGGGGTTCTGATCTTTATCCCAAGAGCAGCAGGAAGCCTTTGAAAGACTTCTAGCAGGGTAGTGAGAGCCAGGGTAAACGCACTTAGAAATTTTGCCTGTGGTCGCAGTGGGGGGACCTGGGTTCAGGCCAGAGTGGATTAAAGAGCATTAGCTACCAATCGAAGGTAAGGAAGAGGGCAAAGGACTTTACTCAGGGTGGTTCTGATGGTAGTGTTAAAGGAGCGAGGTGCCAGGAGGAGGACACACGTGGGAGGTTAGCAAGGAAATTGGTGGGAGGAGGAAGTCGTCTGGATTTCTGATTATGAGAACTTCAATGGGCAACAGGTTAAGTTGCTGAGATCCGGAAACTTGAAGGGAGACTACACTGAGAGGACTAAGAAGGTCATGATGGATTAGAAAGACCTCTAACACATCCCAGGGGAGACAACAAACAGGCGGTGGACTAGTTGGCTAACTGGAACTCAGCTGAGAGGACCAGAGTAGAGATGACAAATACGGCAATTGATTGCTGCTGATGGCACCTGAAGTTAAACTCATGGGCTCTGGCCTTCTAACTTTCCTGCCCACGTGTGTCAAGTTCTGTCTTTTCCACCAAGGTCAAGACGCTTGATTGGGCGCAGGTTTAGCTTCTCCGCGGCCTCCAGACCCAGCCTGGCCCCGGCTATTGGGGTAGTTCAACAGCTCTGGAGAACTAACTGCACAACGCTGGTCTGGCTGTTGATCCAGCGTTCACTGTGGGGCTTGCTTTCACCAGGCCTGCTTGTCTGAACCTGAGACCCGTTTCTACCTTGTACTTAGGACCCCTCACTGGGTCTGTGGTTGGTGTTCAGCTTTTAAAACGAGAGCCCCTGCATTGCTCCAATATTCTGGCTCCAATACGCTGGCCTCTTCCTCTGTTATCTAGTTTTGTTCCAGGGAGAGTTTATTCATTCATACATTCAACAGATGTATAAAAGGTGGTACTCCATGGTTTAGATTTAACAATGCTGGTCACTGTTTTCTGCTTCCTCAAGATCATTCATAAGGGGAGCGTGTGTGAGATAATCATGTTGAGTGCAAAGCAGTGAAATACACAATATCTGCCAGTACAGTTGGGCTCCACTGCCTTGATTTATGCGAAGGGCCAAGCACTCTGACCTACCGTTGCCTTGGCATCATCAGAATAAATGTCCCTCTTTTTCCAGAAGGAACGAAAAAATGGCATTTATTAGTCTAATCACCATGTGCTTGACTGAAGCAGCAGCAGAACTTCTCACTGCAGCTCCTGTGCCACGCAGGGTGGGCTAGGTCATGCTTTAACATGACAAGTTCAAGTCCCTGCCCATGCTCCATGCCCTGGGTAGGGCAGAGAGTTCTGCTCGGGGTTGCCCTCTTTCTGAGATCCAGGCCAATGAAACAGCCACCACGGGGGCCGTTTATAGTCACAACGGCAGAGAAAAACAAAAAAACGGCTCTTAAAGCTTTCAACAGAGGGGGAAACACCGCCTCTCAGTCCACAGGTAATTGGCACAAGTGAGACACCTGGCCACACTGAGCTTCAAAGGGGCTGGAATGATCCATCCTCCCATGTACCTGGAAACCAGAATGAATGGTGGACAACATACCCGGTTGCTATAGCTACTATTCACTGTCCAACATCTGTGAAAGCTCCGTGTGGCAAACATAACTTGCTCACCTGCTCTTTACGGTTAATTCCTTGGCATGGTTCCATCGCAGGCCAGATCAGTTTTCCCTTTAGATGCAAAGCACAAACAGGGCCTGAGGACTCGGCGGTAACCTGTCAGCACTCCGACCCTCAGCGATAGCCTTTGCCTCCCGACTCCCCAAGCCAGAGACACTCGGACTGAAGAGGAATGCATTGATGTTTCGGTGGGTTTTCTGTGGTTCCCTTGCAGAAGAGGCTCGTCTATATAATCACAAAGGAGAGTCTGTTCATCTGATGATCAGGCCTCCTCCTTTCAGCAGCTATGTGCTATCCCTGCCTTGAGTGAAGGAAAAGGAAGAAAATCAGACTCCTGGAAACAATTAGTCCAAAGAAGAAATGGATCATGTGACCGGAAGAACTCGCAGTGTCCAACGAGCCTTACGGACTACTCTGAAACAAGTTCAGAGTGTACAAGTTCCTAGATAGAGAGAGGGAGAGAAAAATGTGGAACAAAGCCCAAACTAAAACAAAAGAGCAGGCTTGCTGGTTGGATAGTGACTGATGGAAGCCCCGAGGCCATGGCCCTGTGTCACCGTCAGGTCTCAATGCGCCTTCCTGGTTCAAATGTCAGTCAGAGAACGGAGAGGTCCACACAATGAAGACAATGCTAGGGAGGCACACGGTCCTCAGAGTAACCAACATTTGTGATCCAGAGGACAGCGCTTGCCAATGACGAAGTTCAGAAGGGAGGACAGGAATTGGAAAGCATGGGGGGTGGGGTGGGATAAGTGTCTTACTTTGTGAGGGTTGCAATCAATGGCATGGAGACAATATATGTATGAATTGTTGGATGAAAAATTAATTTTCTCTATAAACCTTCCTCCAATTCACAGTAAAAAGTCAAAAAAAAAGAAGAAGAAGTTATGTGATAAATTCCTCTGAGTTTGGGCCTAGGAATTAGTGTGAAAAATCAAGTTAGAAAATGTATCACTAGAATGGTTGCCTAACAAGTATAATATATGTTCCTGGACCAGGCATGTCAAAATTGTGAAATTGGCAAATGTTTTGTTTTATATATATATATATGAAATTGGCAAATGTTTTGTTTTATATATATATATAATATATATATATATATATATTACCATGGTAAGCAAACATACAGTTGATGTTATCAAAGTGGTGTAAAACAAACAAAAACCAAGCACAGGAAAAATACCACAGGGAACTATATTACCCCGAAAATAAGATATTAGGATTTTTTTTCATTCATCTACTTCTAGAGAGCTTCTTAATTTCCTATATCAAGGAAACCAGCATGTCTTGCTTTAGCAGCCTCATGGAAACGGTGACAAACGATCCTCCCTGGATGAGGCAGGATGCTCCAGGTTTTCAAGCATCAGAACTGCTTAGCGGGCCTCCTTATAACACAGGCTGCTTGAAGGCAGCCTGGAGATTCTAGAGTTTGAGAATCGGCATTCTTTTCAAGTTTTAAGGTAATGTCCATACAGCTACTGCCAGACTATACTCGGAGACCCACTGCAGCAGTAAGGAAAATACCAGTTAGGGGATCAGCTACCTCTGGTTCTAAATCTTTGTTCCAAACACTAGCTGTGTGACCTAGGCAGCCCGCTTCTCTGAGCCTCACTTTCCCTTCCCAGAAAAGCCGTTCTAAGATGCGTATTTCTTTGCTCCTTAGCATGTCCCACATCACAATGTTTATCACAGTAGGGGGTGTGGTCAAGTTTGGATGCACGCTTTTTCTTCTTTCTGCGTGGCACGTGCCGAAGTGGTCCGTCCTACCAGCGATGACGTCTAAGGTGTGATGACACAGGGTGGGCGCCTTAACCAGCTGTCAAGCGGTAATTATGTCAAGTGCTTAGCATCGCGCCTGACACGGAGAACGTCACTTCAATGGTCAGTTGCTTTAGGTGTGGTGAAAATCTAACAGCAGTTCTATGGTGAGGCTCAGGGAGCAGGTGACGGTGTGAAAATGCAACCCAAATGGAAATGAACATCCTTGCTTCTTTTTCTCCTCCAGCCCGACTTTCGGGAGAGTAAACTGCAGTGCTGCCCTGGGCAGTCTTCACCGCTGATTCCAGCTGCGGCCCTGAGGCCTTTGACTGAGACCGTGTCCACAGTGCAGACCATCTACACCACCCGGAAGCCGGTGTCCCTGGCAGCCAGGTGAGTCGGAGCGCCACAGTCAGCACCATCACCTGTGTTCTGGGTAGTTTTGCTCTGGGGGACACGTGCTGCTTGTAGTTTCATGATAAGCTGCTTTAACAACAAAACAGAACAGCTTTCTTGAGATGGGAATATAATTCCCATACCATACAATTCAACCATTTAAAATATGCAAGCCTGTTTTATAGTGCTGTTGGGCAACCCGCACCACAACCTAATTTAGAACGTCTCATGTCCCCCCTAAAAATGCCCATACCCATCAGCATCCAGCCCCCATCCCCCATCCCCTGTTCTTAGGTTATTTCATCATGCCCTGTTTTCAGATGCCAGTCTCTGACACATAGCGGCCCTGTGTACAATATGTACAGTATGTGCACATAGCCTGGTCCTGTGACATCATCCCAATCATGTTTGAGCCCACTGTGCAACCACGGCGTCCACCCATCTCCTTGAGCATTGCAAACCACTAATATACTTTCTGTCTCTCTAGATCTTCTTAATCTGGACGTTTCCTATAAATAAATTCATACAATAGGGTGGCCTTCTATGTTCAACTTCTTTCACTTAGCATAAGCTTTCCAAGGGTCACCCATGTTGTAGCATGGATCAGTTCAGCACACCCCACCTGGTGCCTGGCTACATACTATTCCATTCTATGGATCTACCACATTTCGTTTAATCATCCACTCATTGATGGTCAAGGAGGTTGTTACCATTATTTGACTATTATGAATAATGCTTCTTTGGCCATTTCTGTACAAGTTTCTGTGTGGTCACATGTTCTCAATTTCCTTAGATGTAACTTAAAGTGATATTACTGGGATGTATGGTACCTCTCAGGAGCCCTGGTAGCACAGTAGTTAATCGATTGGCTGTTAACTGAAAGGTCAGTGGTTTGAACCCACCAGTCTCTTAGTGGGAGAAAGATGTAGCAGTCTGCTTCCATGAAGATTTCAGCCCTGGGAGCATTTGTGGGAGTTCTACTCCACCCTTTTAGAGTCAATGAGTTACAACAGACGTGACCCCAGTGGGTCTGTTCTGCATTCTGAGGAAGTACCAAATCGTCTTCCAAAGAAGCTGTACCATTTATTTCAGTCCTACTAGCAAGAAAAAGGGACTCTGATTCCTTCACCTTCTCATCAACCCTATGATTGCCTACCTTTTTCATTTTAGTTATCCTAATGAAGGTGAAGGTCCCTGGATGGCAGACATAGTTTACCCTGGACAACCTAAGAGTTGGCAGTTCAAATTCACCCTGCAGTACTGCAGGAGAAAGACCTCTCTGTTTCAGTAAAGACTGTTGCTGTTCTTGACAGGTCCTGTTGGGTTGGTTCTAACTCATAGCGACCTCAGGTGTGACAGAACGGACCTGTGACCTGGCCTGTGCCATCTGAACAGTCTCCCTGCGCTTGAGCCGGTTGTTTCCTGTTGTTGCAGCCACTGGGTCAGCCCATCTGGTTGAGGTTCGCCCTCTGTTTTGCTGAACCTCTACTTTACCAAGCATGATGTCTTTTCCCAAGGACCTCTTCATAACATCTTTCAAATATGTAAGACAAAAATCGTGTCATCATCATTTGAAAGGAGCATTCTGGCCATATGTCTTCCAAGACAGATTTGTTCATTCTTCTGACAGTCAGTGGTATGTCCAAGAATCTTTGTCGGCATCTTAATTCAAATGCATCAGTTCTTCAGCAGGTTTCCTTGATCACTGTCTAACTTTCACATTCCTACGAGGCAGTTGAAAATACCATGCCTCATGCAGCTTAGTTCTTCCCAAGATGCCGTCTTTTCTCATCAACCCTTTTAACATGTCTTTTGCAGCAGACATGTCCAATGTAATAAGTCCTTGGATTTCTTGACTGCTGAATCCATGAGCATTGAATATGGATCCAAGTAAAATGAATTCCTGGATAACTTCATTTCTTCTCCATGTATCATGGTGGTGTCTGTTGGCTCAATTGCAAGGGTTTTTGTTTTCTTGACATTGAACTACAATCCGGACTGAAGTCTGTAGTCTTTGGTTTTCGTCAGTAAGTGCCTCAGGTCTTTCTCACCGTCAGCAAGCAAGGCTGTGCCATCTGCATGGTGTGGGTTGCGAAGGAGTCTTCCTCTAATTCGGATGCTGTGTTCCTTACATGGTACAGATTCTCAGGTAATGTTTGTTTAGCATACAGATTAAGTAAGTATGGCGAAAGACTGCAGCTAACTATACCCTATGGAGCAGTTCTACTCTACAACACAGGCGGGAAAGAGGCTTGGTCACCATGAGTCGGTATCAACTTCACAGCAATGGGTTTGGATCTGGGGGGTTAGTGATTGTGAATAGTTATCTCATGATGGCTTTGAATTGCATTTCCCTGACTACTTAAGGTGCAGAGCATCTTGCCATGCGTTTATGGCCTTTGGGATATCTTCTTTGTATACACAAAATCATTTGTTCAACTCCACTGCCCCTATCTTCACTGTTTATTGTTCCTTTTTATTATTACATTGCGAGAAGTTTTCATATATTTAGAACACAAGTACTTTGTTAAAAAAATACTTTGCACATGCTTTTTCCCAATCTGTGGTTAATGTAGTGCGTTAGTCTAGGTAGACTAGAGAAACAAATCCAGGAAGACACATATATGTGTATAAGAAAGAGCTTTATATACAAGAGCAATTGAATATTGAGAAAATACCCCCAGCCCAGTCCAAATCAAGTCCATAAGTCCGATATTGGCCCATATGTCCGATACCAATCTAGAAAGTCCTCTTCAGACTCATGAAGCACATGCAATGACCCCAAATGCAGGAAGACTGCAGGCCAGTGGGTGGGAAGTCTTGTGCATCCAGTGGCATTGTAAGCATCTCAGAGCTGTCAGGGCTCTCCACATGGCTTCTCTGATTCTAGAGGTCTGGCTCTATCAGCCTCTCTGCATATGTCTTCTCTACAGGGATGTCTCCCACCTCCAAGCAGGAAAAACAGGAGTTCCGTGAATCCTCAGGAAAAGGCCATGCCCACACAGAGGCCTCATTGGCTATATCTTGGTTGACAGGCTAGACTCTGCCCCTACACTCTTAATCCTCAAATTGACACCAGATTATGTAACTACCACATGTAGTGATAAGATTTTGAGACCCCATCATTGTAGGCTGGCCGGGGCCTGGTCGCTTGGGATTCTACTCTGTGAAGGAGGGAAAAGGAGCAGGGTTTTGTGATTGATCTGGAAAGAAAGCTGATCAAAGCAAGCTCAACTTTCTTGGCTCGTTTTTCTGCCTTGTCTACTACTCCAGACAAGGGTCAAAGAGAGTTGAGGCTGCTGCCGACTCAATAATCTAACAGTTCATTCACTGCACTGACTGCTACAGATACAGCAAAACACAGCTTAAGGCCCCTCACACGCTCTCTGTGGTAAACATCAAACCTCAGGGCCTCCCTCCTTAGACCACCACCCACCAAGGGTCTGTTTTCTGGGCTGTCCTCGCCACTGTAGTCTGACAGCCTGAAATCCAGTTTTTGTTCTAACACTTCCTTCCTTGAGCAAGTTACTTGGCCTCCCTAAAGTTCAGTTTCCTCATCTGTGAAATGGGATTAACAACAGAGCTTAATTCTGAGGAACAAAAACGCATGATTCTGCCCGCATGCTAGCCTTGCGCTAGCATGAGCTGTGTCACAGAGACAGAGCTGAGTGTATAGACACCGGCTGATGTATGTCATGATTTCTGTGACCTTTTTAGCAGTGTATTAAGGAGAGGGTAGGCTATCTTGTAGGTTGATGGACATGAACGTCGCTCATGAAACTGAAAACTCCAGATAGCGGTGGGACTCTTCCTTTCCCCACTCGGTTGAGGAGTACAATCCTCAATATGGAAAGCCCTTGTTATTGACCTGGGCGATGTGCTCAAAATACATTTCAGAGTGGGCAGAGAGAGGCACTTGGTAGATAAAGGGCTCGTGAGCCCCTCTTAGACGCTTGTGTTGGGAGTTGTGATGGTCGGCAGTTTAAAACCCCCAGCAGCTCCTCAGGAGGAAGACTGGGCTTTCTACTCTTGGGAACAGTTACAGCCTGGGAAACCCACAGGGGTCACTAGGAGTCTGCTTTGACTCCATGTCAGTGAGTTTGGCTTTTCTTTGTTTCTTGTTTATGAGAGGTACCATGAAAGAAAGCTCTATTGATCTACAACCAGAATGCTACGCTAGGAAACCCAATTGACTCGAACACGAATGAGATCACCATGAGTGAGAATCCACTCAGTGACAAGTGATTCAGGTGGTCATACAGCCTGGCGGGTATCGTGGCCCTGAGACTTTAAGCAATGCGGACTTTTGATCTATTCTTTTATTCTTTTTACCAACAAATACGTGGGCATGCGCCTTCTCCGTCTCCTCTCTATCATTGTACCAAGGCTTGGTACTATACTCATCCAAATGAAGTCGATGAATTTTCAAAATAAAACGACACTGGTTCTGTAGCTGTGTTTTACTGTTCTCCGTTATTCAATGCAATTAATGATTTTTTATTTGTTTGTTTTTCAATTCATGATTTTAACCAAATGCTGTCCTTTATATCTTACTCTTTTAGTGCGGAGACGCTCCGGCAGGAACTGGAGAGAGAGAAAATGATGAAAAGGCTGTTGATGACCGAACTGTGAGATTCTCCCCGAGTCGCCTGCAGGATGGCCTGCTGCCTTCTGTCCGTCTTTGTTCTTCGGGCTGCGTGTGCTCCTCTGGCCCAACGTGCACGTGCTGCGTGCGCTGTGCGCTCAGATCTCCAGGGACAGTGACAGCCAACTTCTGGCTTGATTTCTATTGGCAAAGTCGTTTTCTTGTCTCCTGAAGATTAGAGTTTTTCTACTACTCAGTGTAGTTGAGACAGGATTTGCTAAGTCGAGGAGTAAAAAGATGACAAAACGGGATTCCTTTTAGAAAATACCTGTGTACATATGTTAATAACCACAGGGGTTAATATGGCGCAGAAATCCTTTGCTGTGGATCTCACCCATGTGATTTTGTATGATTGAAACTTGCACCAAGCTTTGACTGTTTGTTAAAGAGTCATTTTTAATGAGAGAAAAAAACTAATTCTTTACTGCTGATTTTTTTCATTTACACTGATGAATACATCTGTCTTATAAAGTCTTAACATTCATTTTTATTCAGACCTGAGTAGATGAAGTTCAAAAAGAGAAATTGTGTATTCCCATAACTGAGAGTACTTCAGCTTAACCTGAATATAATTTAACTTGTGAACGTAGTGGGATAAACAGAATTTTTCATTAAGTCCAAAGTGGGAAGTTATAGGCTTACATTATCTGAAAATTCATACAAGGTTAAGATGATTCGACCTCAAGGTGACTCACTTGGGTGTCCCATACAGGAAAATTACAATAAATGCCTCAAGTTGATCAATTCATGTCCTGTTGATAAAACCTTAGACAAAAGAAATTTTGCTCTTTTTTAATATAATTTCAAGAAATGTGTTTTTAAATTTTTATTATGCATTTGAACAACTTTGCAGGAAAAAGGAAACTATCCCTCCAAATTATTTCCCGAGCTTTCTCAAAACAGATATGCACATGTTGTCACATACTATGATTAGCATGCACACACGATTTTGTTGTGCTTCCCCACCTAACACATCTGTCTGCCTCTCAACACAGGTCCTGCTCTCGTCAAACTTAAGTATCTTTATAGCCATGTGTCATGGTTAACCTCACTGTTGGCTATATGAGTTCAATCCGATTTTTCACTCTAACAAATAGTGCTGCTATGAATGTCTTTATAAAAAAAACACATTTCTTCTTTTTGGATTATTCCTGTGAGACTATCTCCAGAGAGGGATTCCAAGAGCATGGATTATTTTGTAGCTCTTGTTTCATATTGCCAGAATGCTCTCTAGAAAGATCCAACCTCTGGATTGGAAGGACCTTCCAGGTCATCTAGTTCAACCCCCATTCCTTCTGAATGCTTGCATCCCCTCAGCAATTTGTAACGGCACCAGCAATGTATAAGCATTTCTATGTACCAGTAACTCTGTCAGTACTCGGTTTTGCCATTTTTTAATTTATTTTTGCTAGTGTAACAGGTGTGTACAACTGTTTTTGAGAGGTTGTTTTGTTTCCTTAATCGCTAGCCAGGCTGAACATGTTTCCATGTGACCATTTACCAGCTGTAGCTCCTTGTATGTAAAATGTACATCCATTTCTTATGACCACTTATTAAGTGGAACTGATCTTGTACATTTGTATCAGAATTGTATTTTTATGTTGTACTGTATAGTTCACGCTCCTGTCCCTATCCTTAAAACTGAATGGTGCCAATAATTTGATACTAATGATTATATATATAAAAAGTAATGCCTCATTTACTACTATTGTAAAATGAGGTACGTATGCAGATATTCCGATAACTGAAGATTAACCCCTTTAAGTGCTGACTCTTTACAATTTGACAATTTTTGGCTTATTTAGGTTGTTTTGTTTTTGTTTTAGGGTAAACTTTCTAAGATGTGGTACACACTCCCCTGCCTTAGTAAACAAAGTATACTGGAGAGGATGTGACCTTTCCTTGATGAGTCATGGTCATCATTGTAAGCATCAGCCCCTAATGTCCCATGCAGGGGTGCCGTGAGGTCATCAGGAGCTATCAAAATGTGTCGGCCTGGCCTTTGCCTTTCGCAGTCTAGTAATGCTCTTCTCACTGATGGCTTTTACTGCCGTGTGTACCATCGGTGATGTCATCAGGGCTACTGTAGTGTTTGGGGCTCGCTTATCCCAAGGACATGACCCCCAGCTGTATTTTGAAACAGCTTTAGCTGTTCTTTCTCGTACACGCCATGCAAAATATGCTCCTGTGCGACTGGTCACTCCAACAGCTTCCTCCTCTGAGCTGCCTCCTGAGGCTTCCCTCCCTCGTCTCCTGCTCTCTGAGGGAAACCTCGAGGGCGAGCCCGAAGCGTTCGTGAGGAAGCCAGGAACTCCAGTATTCCCCACGTGCCAGGTTTGCTGCGCTTCCGAGGACGGATGCATGGGCTTTTGGGCTGCTGTTTTCTAGAGGTCTCAAGCCTCCTGCTTATCACCCCCCCCCCACTCCCCCCCACCCCGGGTTCTCAAATATTTCAGAAGGTTGACGTCACTGGAAGTCTGACCACTGTACAAGCTGGCTGGGTTTGGTTTTTGTTTTTTTTGTAAAAACCCAGTACCTTTGGCAGCTGAATTCTAACCAGTAAAATTGAGAGGATTCCATTGTTTCAGCGGTTGTCCTGGTTATTTGACTATTTTCAATGCCTGGTGTCTGGTGGGTGTTTGACATTGTGACCAGAGGAGATGGAATTGTGGGGAGGGGTTGGTGGGGAGGGCGGAGATGGAGGTGGGGATTTGGCATGTCTAAAATGAATTGGTAGAATCACTTCACATTTTCTATGTACTTAAAAACCAAACCAAAAGGACTGTGCAGGTCACTGGGCACAAACACCTGTGTGGGCAGTTAACTGACATAATCAGTCCAAAGCAAAGTTCCAAAGGGCAGCGGGCCTCAAACTCCTGGTGGGCATGCGTGGTTACTGCGAGGGGCCTGGGAATGCTGCAACCCACAGGTTTGTGGATTATCTACTAAGGACCACCTCTGGTGGTATAGTGGTTATGTGTTGGATTGCCAACTGCAAGGTTGCCAGTTTGAAACTGCCAGCCACTTCATGGAAAAAAGATGGGATTTCTACTCCTGTAAAGAGTTACAGTCTGGGGAAACCCACAGGGGTGTATCAATGGACTTGATGGCAGGAATATATACATCAGTATTTATACTGAATAGATGGATCTTGTTGGGAAGATTTGAAAACGAGATCCTACCTGGATGCACTTGAATTTCAATTCCCCAAATCGCAGGGAGTCTCTGGTATCCTCTTTATCTTTCTCTAACCATTTCCAACTTTATAGCCTTTTTATTTTAAATTGTGGTATAATTAATCATTTCAACCATTTAAACCCATTTAAACGTGTTGTGCAAACATCACCACAGTCTAATTCTAGAACATTTTCATCCCCCCAGAAAGAAGCCCCCTATCCATTAGCAATCACTCACAATTGGCCCCTCTCTCCGCCCCTGACAACTACAAAGCTACTGTCTGCTATTGATTTGTAGACTCTGGACATTCCATATAAATGGAATCATTCAATATGTAATCGTTTGTGTTCGGTTTCTCTTAGCGCACAATTTCCAAGGCTCATCCATGGAGCATGGAGCAGTGCTACATTTATTTTTATTTGAATATATCCCATGGTATGGATATAACACATTCTGTCCTTTCAACAGTTGATGGATATTTCCACTTTGGGGCTACTATGAGTAATGTTACTGTGAACGTTTATGTGAAAGTCTTTGTGTGGACATAGGTTTCCATTTCTTTTGGGTATATACCTAGGAGTGGAATGATTGGGTCATATGACAGCTCTCTAAGAGCTTACCTTTGTGAGGATCTTCCAAGATCACAGCTCTTATTTTTTCAGAAACCTAAAGTGAAAAGACACGTCGGCTAGGCAGCCCAAAGCAAGAGCAACTCTGCTGCTGGTCAGCTATCAAGACAACACAGTGATTTGGTAGAATGCAGCTTGTAAGGAAAAGAAGTTGGTTTGAAATGCAGTGGCTAACCAATTCGGTCTGGTTCAACCCCCTGCTGAGAGTTCCCCTTTTCACCCCAAAGCCACTGAATCTAAGTCTACATTTTTGCAAGATCCCCAGGTTAAAAATGTGGATTCTGTGAAAAGTCTTGTTAAAATGTAGAGTCTGATGCTGTAGCTCTAGGATCAACATGACCATTTTCAGCAGTGGGTTGACCTGAAATGAACTCATGAGAAGTCCTGCTTTGAAGAGAAGAGAAAATAAAAGTGCTTTTCTTTTTTAATGAAAATAAAATTAAATCCAAGTTAACCTCCAAAGTTACTTGTTTGAATAGCCAATTCTTGTTCAGCCGGTGGTCTCTGAATGTTCAGAGGAAGTTCTTTCCTGGAAAACGTGCAGAAGAGGAAACCACGTGTGTTAGTGTGGGTACTTCAGAGAAACAAATCCACAGAAACTCATGCATAAGAGAGAGTTTTATATGAAGGTTAAGTGTGCATCAAGAAAACATCCCAATCCAGTGCTGCCCAAGCCCACAAGTCCAACATTAACCCATTAACCCATATGTCCAACACCAATCCACAAAGTCTTCCTCCATCTCACAAAACACACTATGATGCTGACTGCAGGAGGAAAGCCGAGTCAGTGAACGTGTAAGCATCTCAGCACTGGCAGGGGTCTCCACACGGCTGCTCCAGCACCCAGGACTACATCAGGGTAGGTCCATGCGGCTTCTCCTCAGGGATGTCTTGCAGGAAGTGAGCCTTGCCAGCTGAAGCAGGGAACTGGCTAAGGCAGCTAGCTGCAGCCTGGTCTGACCATCAGAAAGCAAGAGACCCGAGAACTAGAAAGGCGAGGCTCACCGAGCCATTTAATCCCTCTGCCCTTCAATTTACCGCACATGTGTCTATCAGCCAGGTTGGAACAATATACTAACTACCTCACCATGGGCTCACACTGGTGAGGAGCAGCGGGTCTCTGCAAAGCCTGGGATAGAACTAAGATGGGAACACATGCTGAGGGTGGTCTCCCGCCAGTCTTTTCAGGGCAAATCATGGTGGAAAACAATAAGAAGCACACCCAAAAGGCAACTTACAAGATGGGAGAGACCATCATGAAATGGATGTCACCCTTCGGTGACAAAACAAATCATGCTGGGGAGGCATCCCGACTTGGAGTGACTATAGGTTGGCTCCCTAAAAAATGCACATCGCAGCACCTTCGGAGAGGCCTCACACCACCCCAGAAGTCCACCTGTGACCCTCAGGAATTCATGGGCCCCATGTCTTCCCTCATGGGTAGGTCTCTGAAATCCACATAGTACCTGCAGAAGCTCATTTCGGCTGTGGTTGAAAACGCTCGCCCCGGCCTGTGACAGCCAGAGGAGAAAAACAAGAACAAAGCATACCACCCCTTCATCAGACCTATTGATAGGGGGAGGACCCCTCGTGGCCTGGTGAGTTAGATTTGGACTGCAAGTTCAAAATCAGCAGCTGCTCCCCAGAAGAAAAATGGAGCTGTATGTGCCCATAAAGACTTACAATCTGGAACCCTTATCTATGGTTGCTAAGAATTGGAATCAACTCGATGGCAGTGGATTTCGGGGTGCGGGATGTGGGGGGAGAGGTGTCAGTATTTCCAGGGAAGAGAATGACCTGGTGTTCATTTGCCATCTGTGAGACACCATCCGTCTCTTTTCATTGCAGTAACCAGGGTCTGAGAAAATGACAGGTGACAGCGTGAATCCACGGCCAAAACAACACTGAAATCAGAAATCCAGTGCTCTTCCGATGAACAGCCATCTCCAGTTTTTAAGGAAGAGGGGTTTGTTTGTTCTATTTTTGCTTTCTGAAGGATTAAACTTGATTTGAATAGGACTTAAACATACTTATGTGGGGTGTTTTTTTTTTTCCATTTTGCAATTGTATGTATCCGGGAATAATGCAAAGCTGTTTGGGGAGAAGTCTGTGTTGTATTGTTTGAGGAATCAAAGTCTATCTTTTCCTAACGATAAGTCAGAGTTGTTTCTGCCAACAGCTGGTATCTTGTAGCATCTCATGGTACCCACTAATAATTTCATTGACAGCACCTTGATTTACCTGTGAGGAGTCATGAGTTTAAACTCCACTGTGTACCCCACTGTCTGCTGCTGACACCCAACAGCAAACCCCTAAAGGCTGAGTTGCCCTTCTAGCACTTCACCCTATTTTGACAGGAGTATCTGCCAAGGCGTGCAGTTCTGGGAGTGTAGTGGTTATGTGCTGAGCTGTGATCGACATGGTCAGCAGTTCGAAACCACCTGCAGCTCCAAGGGAGAAAGACTAGGCTTTCTACTCCCTGTAAACAGTTACATTCTGGGAAACCCATGGGGGCTGGGGGGTGGGGGGATGTCACAATGAGTTAGC